CGTCACCGTGGAGAGCCGTTAACCAATATGTAAATTAGCCTGCAGTACCACTGCTCTACCCATATGAGCAGCAAAAACTATATAACAGATTTGAACAAATACGCACAAAAACATCAAAATTAGCACAGAAACAGTACTATATAACATTTTAGACACATTCTAGACAGTTTATCAGCTAAAAAAAGTTAATTTTGGGGTAAGTTACTCTTTAATGTTGCAATATTAGAGTTAGTCATTAGGCTGATATAGATTTATTTCATGTTTTTTATTTTATAGTTATTAACTCAAGACAGCTTAATCACTAACTCAGCTCATCTGATGGGATACACTTTTGACATGGCGATCTGTAGATTTAGACCAATTTATTCAGTAAATATTATTTATCATCAGTTTGGTTTTTGAACCTGTGTATTTGCCTCTGATGTTTTCTGTCAGAGGAGAGATCACCTGCAGGGGCTAAATGCAGCCTAAGGCCAGAGTAGGGGTAAACTCTCAAATACTACCACATTCAGTTCTACCTCAATATCTGTAAAACCATCTGAGTTATAGCAATTTTAGTGTGTACTAACATTGATAAGCTGTGGTAGTTATTATGAATCAGGTAGTCTTCAAAAGGTATTGACTGTAGTAAATTCAAAATGATTTTATAAGTGTTTCAATAAAATCTGTCCAGTGGGTCACAAGATGTTTTGCTAAATGACAAATTAGCCTATAAGACTGTCTGAGTCCACTGAAGTTTAGTTAGAGGTGCCTTTGCCCCCCGAAAAAAAAAAGGTTCTACACAAAGATGTCACATAGCTGTAAATTTAAAAGTAATGTACCTACTAAATATGTGTGGTAGGTCCTGTAAACATTTTTACACATGTGCATATTTTCTTCCCTCTCAAGTCTTCGCCTGGTCAGATGTTCATTCAATCCAGTTTAAGCTCTGAAATTCAAGCAAAAAGCAGAGTTCACTCTGCTCCCCAGTCTCACCTGCCTCCTCGTGCCAATGAAAACAGAAAGGCTGCCTGGACAGCCCTGGTTCTTTTCCACGTGACGTGCGCAGACTGTTCCCGCCCCCCTCCCTTCTGATTGGCTGCTGGACAGACGCTGCAGCTTGTTATTAGCCGGCGGAAACGTCATTTAAACCGAATTCCTCCGCTGTTATCTTTAGAGCTGGTTGTAGTATCCAAACATGGGAAAGCGGAGCGGAGCGCTGGAGGGACTCGAGAGTAAAGTTAGTGTGAACGCCAAAATATGAGACTAGTTTGCTTTTTACCCAGAAACTCACTCTCGTGAAGCCAAGTTGCCTCAAGTCATGTAAGCTATCGCGAGGAATATAGCTCCAAACCGCTTGAAATTTAACTCGCATCTCTTTTCCCCCAAGTTCGACTTTTTTTTGTTGTTGTTTTGACTTCCTGAGTGTGTGAGAGAGGAAAAAACTCAAGAGGGAAAGGTGGGAGGGAAACTGGGAGGGGGCGGAGGAGACGGAGAGGGAGAGGCACTTCGTCAGATGGGGAGGAGTCTCTCACTGACAAGAGGGAGATTGGCTTTTCTGAGTTTGTCAGCTCCCCCTAAAATAGCAGTCGGCGTGTAAATGTGAACTGAAATTACGTTTATCCACTGGAGTCACCGATATAGAGTGTCTATATACAGCGACTGACTCGGGAGTAAAGGTGAGTACCGGAAATAGAAACATTGTTGCGGAGCGTGGCGGCGGTACTGTTAGCTACAAGAGAGTCGGTGTGGGAGAGAGTGGAAAACAAGGAGCGCAAGAGGGAGACGTAGAGTGAATTTGGGACACACTAACAGTTTTTTTTTTTCACCTTCTACATGCGTGAATTCAACACGCACACAGCTTAAAGCCCAGCTTGTGTCATTCCACTAGAGTTACGGTGAATTATGAGTGAGCTATGGGTGCCATAAAATGTCAAAGTGCCAGGTTAAAGGGTGAAGTCAGGCGAGCGCGCTGTTGAGATCTGACAGCTGTGGGAGTTTTACGGGGTTTATTTATCAGCAACTAGAAGTTGTTTGGAGCTTCTCCGAGATTTATGATCGTCAAAAAATCTCCCCCGTTTGTACTTATGTAGCTTGTGAAGTGAAAATGTTAAGCTGCGCTTTGTAAAAACAGACGTGCTCATCGTTGGGGGCAAAACAACAATCATTGTGTATGTAATAACACTGTTGAGCCACAGGATTGCTCATATCATGGTAATAGAAGCTGTACAATTGACTGCAAATGATATGTTCCAGTGTTATGCAGCTTTAGAAAAAAACTCAAAACATTACTCAAATACATGTAGGACACATGTAAATATTTTTTCATGTAATCTGTTTTGAGTTGAGAAAATCTCTTATTTATGTTGCATGTTTTAAAACATAGTATCCAGTGCAGTTAAAGCACTACGGTAAGTCAATTTGAGCACAAACTAAGTAAATTTGACCCCTCTTGCTTTTTCAATCAGTTGAGAAGTTCACTTTTAAGTATTAAAGTGTCATGGGGGCAGAAGCTGTTTTGGGGTGGGCTCGTAAGAGAGGATCTTTGCTGTCTTCTAGTTTCTGGCACGCGGGTGACCTTAACCCCTGGCCAAAGTGGCAAGAAGCCAACAGTAACCTGACCTTCTCAAATGTTCCTAGTGTATGCCTACACCTCACATTTCTGATCTCTGTTGCACTGAAAGAGTTGTTTTTATTCAGCTGGCAGAAAATACGGCACGAAAACTTCAAGATCTCTGTTTTTCTTATGTGTTGCAGCGGATGAGGGATTCACAAATCAAGCTATTTGCCAAATAATTTATTAAGTGGATTGTTTACATGAAAGGAAATTACTTTACCTTCATCTAGACTGAGTATTTCACTGCTTTACTTTATAAGTCAGGACTAAATGGTGACAAATTTAACTCTAAAAGCCGTTTTGAAGAGATGTCGAAGCAAGCTTGTATTTTTAACAATCACTTTTTTTATTGTTACGTTTACTCTAACGACATGCACATTAGTGTACCAGCTGGTTACCAGTCATTTTTGAAGCAAAGTATTAAAGCACCATCCAATCTGCAGTCATTAGCCTGTATGCTGCCTGAGGCCTCCACAGTAATGGGCCTTGTTGCTCATGATTCACATCATGTGAGCTCTTATGTCTAATGTGTAGATGTGGGATTCTCTTACTCCGCTGCAACGGGTATTGTTTTAACAGTTTATGCCCCATATTAGTCAAAGAAAAGATCATGAAGGTGCTTATATAGAGCCATCAAATGGTTCTCTCACATGCATCCCGCTCTAACCTCAGGGACCCCGAATGCTCTCTCTCTCTCTTTCTCTTTCTCTGTCTCTCTTCCTCTCTGGGCCAATACAAAAATACACAGAGAGGTTTGATGATATGACCATCAGATTCCATCCTGCCTCATTTTAATCAGGATGACGCAGTAATATTGCATGATGGATCACTGATGACTACCACTGTTTATAAAAGGTTTTAGCCTTGTTATTTGTTTTGTTTATGTGCTACCTGAGCGTATCTCTAAACTTATGTGATTGCATGTTAACGTCTTCGCACAAGTTCTCGGTAAAAAAAAAAAAAGGGAAAAAAAAGTGAGGTGGTGGGGGGATGAGAGGTGGCGGCGATGGCACGAGGAACGGGCAGCTGCAGCATCTTTTACCGCACTCCTCATCCCACTTCAATCTCGGTGTCTCAGCCTCTCCTTCCAGGAGAAATGTGGAGTGTGTGGGCGAGTCGGATCTGCAATTAACGCTGGTTGTCAGAAAGAAAATGCTGGCGTTTACGCCGTGCCTCTGAATCACTGAGTGAAAGTCTTTCTCCTCCACTCTTCTCCTCCCAGGACATTTATTTTTATTTTTTTGTATTCCGTGGAGGACAAAACACTAGAGAGCTGCAAACCAAAGATTCATTGAGTGCACAATATGAAATAGATGCAGAACATCCAGGTCCAATAAAGAGGATAATTTTTCTCTGATCGTTTGGTAAGCCAGGACATTGTTTAATGCAGCGGATTTGGAGAGAAAACCAAAACCCTTACAGATATTACAGGAGTATACAACAGATTATATGGTATGTTTTTGAGTTTGTTTTCTCAATTGCTTGTTTTTATGAGTATATTTACTACAAAAACATTGCTGCTGTGCTTGGACAAAACTTGGCAAATGAACTTAAAATAAATACGTTTAGATTGCTTTGGGCTATAAAACATGCGTTAATGCACTCACAGCCTTCATTGACACCAGTTATCCTCCTCTTTTATAAATGTTTCCTTTGTTATTTGTACAGATTTAGCTAAAGTTTCTGACACAATTTCATCTTGGAATAAAACAAAATGTCAAAGGAATGATAACACACATTGTCTGTGTTTAGCTTTCCCCTTGTTTAACTAAAGCATCTTAGTAACATGAATCATTGTTTATTGGAGCTCCATCATCAATATGGAGATTCCAGCGTTCCCTTGTGAGACCTGGAGGTTATGTGCAGAATCTCGAGCCTGGCAGATAATGTCTTAGACCGCAGTTAACTGTGGACTGTTCCCTGTAAAAGGACGAGGAAAGAGTTTTACTCCAACACATCAGTTGTTTCGTCAGCAAATTACTAACCTTTTCACGTAGTAATATGGTGTGTTTTTAGTTGCTTTTTGGTGCACAGAAAAAGTTTTTCTAAACTAAAGCAGAGAAAGTGGAGGCTGTACTTTTTTTCATTCAAGTTTATTTTATCAGATGATTTATGCTCCTGCAAAAGAACAGTTTGTAAAAGGCACCACTTTGGTTCTAAAATAGGTTCAGCTTTAGTGTTTTCTTTTTGAATTAGACATTTGTAAGCTAAATAAAATGAGCTGTAACTTCCACCAAGTGACAGAAACTTGCACATTACTGTTCCTACAGGCTATGTTGTAGATGTCTGTTTGAACAAATCAAGTTGGAGAAATTAAGTTTATTTATGACTGAATTTATAAGCTAACTATTGTTTGGGGCAAAGACCAAAGTGGACTGCTACTATTTTAACGCTTAAGCTCAGTTCTGTTGTTTTCAATTATACGATTATTTATGTATTTTGCAAACATAACAGCAGCAGGTAGCTGTAGCACGTCTGGTAGTATGGGGTATTTGCTGCACGATATAACAGATGAACCACTACGAAACTTTTGAGAATGGTGGTTACAGTCTTTAACAATCCACTTTTGTCCTTCTGAAATTAGGTTTTAGCTCATCTGTTTGCCAGATTTATTAGTATTACACAGAAAATGTATTGTTCATAACCTTTCCACAGAGTATCACTTCAGAAAATACGAACATCTCTTTAAAAAATTTAGAACAATTTAAATAATAAAATATACTGAGTCAAGGCAAATGCACCCCTTAAATATGGAAGGTACAATTATAACTCAATCTGCTTTAAAAGTATACAACAGCAAAGTATCGTGTAAGAGTTATTGCTAATAGTGCCTTAAGTATATACCTACAGCTCACAGACAGCAAATACCTCTGCTCATAAACACTGGTAGTTTTTAAATCTCTTTAATCGTCTGATGTAAGCTCAGAGGGTGAATTTGTTACTGGCGGGGCAGTGCTGGTTGTATAGCAGGGAGAGCCAGCACTGACCTTTCAACTGTCCCGCCCTTGACTCAGACCTCAGGTGGTAAGCCACCGTGTTTGGCTCACTCAGCACATGTGCTGCTCAGCACAGTACAGCAGCTTAAGATCCATCTTTTCTCGTGTCCCCTGCCCTGTCAAACAAGTCCAGCCTGGACGTGTCTTCGCCTCCTCAACTATTTTGGTCACTAAGTTAGTCTTCAAATTCTATCAGGCTGTCTTCTCGGAAATAAGGAGAAGACTAACACATGCACATTGTGTGGTTTTGTGAAGGCAGACTGCTGGAAGTATGCGGTGGAGCAAAGGTGACGACTTTGACAAGTCAAGTCATTTTGCACTTTTAAGCTGCCACCTCCTCCTTTTTTTTGGTTTCTGGACTGCAAGAAAAACCACAGAAAAACATTGTGCATCGTCTCTGTAATGACTAGCCTACACTACCAGGATGTACCAACTCCAAAACCAATATAATGTTGTGTGGTTTTATCATGGCCATTGTTTTTATCGCCTGCCCCTGAAGGTGAAGCAGTAATAATGTTTTTGCCCGTGTCTCTCTGTGTGTGT